TTCTCAAAGAAAACAAACTTGTTGGTACCAATTATATTGACTGGAAAAGGAACTTGAATATTGTGTTAACTGCTCTGTTGAGGCTTGTCCGGCTGTGCCTGCTGACAATGCACCAGACCAAGAGAAAGAGGAGTATGCTCGGTGGAAAAAGGCTAACGAGATGGCGAAGTGCTACATCTTGGCACCTTTGTCAAATGTACTTCAACATCAACATCAGTCTATGAACACTGCAGCAGAGATGCTTCTCAATCTCAATGAGTTATTTGATCATCAGCCGTGGGCTGCCCGACAAGAAGCCATGAGGGTTCTGATGAACATGAACATGCGCGAGGGCACTTCCGTAAAGGAACATGTTCTTGCTATGATGGCCCAGCTGAATGAGCTGGAGGTTCTTGGGGCTTTTATTGATGGGGAAACCCAGGTCGATATAGTGCTCCAGTCTTTGCCGAAGAGCTTCGAGCAATTTGGGTTGAATTACAACATGAATAAGATGTTGATGACTCTTCCGGAACTTGTCTCTGAACTTCAGTCGGCAGAGGGCCTGTTTCGTCAGAAGATCCAAGCTATGGTGGCCCAGAGGGGAGAAGCTTCCACTTCAAAGGCTCCTAGGGGCAAGAAGAGGAAGAAGTCCGCAGGAAAGGGCAAGGCGGTCATGAGTGACGCGCAACCTCGACAAAAAGCGAAGAAGCTGAAAGGCAAGTGCCACAATTGCCAGCAGAAAGGACACTGGAAGGCAAACTTCCCTTTCCCCAAGAAGTCCGATAAAGGTACACCTTTTGCTTTAGTCGTTGAAACATGTTTAGCAGTGTTATCTACCAGTACCTGGTGTGTAGATACAGAGGCCACTGATCATGTCTACAATTCATTGCAAGGGTTCCAGGAAACCAAGCGACTTAGGGAAGGAGAAGTTACCATCTACTTTGGCGATGCTAGTAGAGCGTCAGCAATTGCAGTGGGAGACGTCTATTTAGATTTTGGCTTAGATAAGTTTCTAGTTTTGAAAGATTGTCTTTATGTTCCTTGTTTTAGAAAGAATTTGATTT